ATGAACTGAAGCTCTGCCATCACGTAATGTCGCATACTGCTGTTTCTGATGTCATTTAGAAAAAATAAATAAATAAATAAATGTTAGACACAAATAGAAAAAACAGGAAACACTGGGATTTAAAGCCAGCCATCCTGACCCGTAAACGTGTTTTTGTCATGGCTGTCACGCGTTCTGGTCAGGGTCAAAGGTTACAATTTATTTACAAAAGGGTGAACTACAGTGCAGTATATGTGTACAGAGAGAAGGGGTCCAGGGGGGAAGAGGTAATCCACACACTCTCCTCTTTAGCCACTCTAGTCCTGATCTCCACTCACGCAGCCACACACAGGAATCACAGGGAAGGGTCCGTCAACAGGTCCGGGAAACTCTATGCACAGAACACAGGTTAGTCTAACAGGCGAAGACAACTGAGAGCACGAACACGGGAGGGTCAGCGTTCCAGAGACGATAACCAGCTCCGCCCAGGGAGAGAGGAGAAAGGAGGAGAGAGAAACATAAAGAAAACCTTTAGCCATCACGAGCCAGCCGGAGAGGACGGGGACCATGACAGTGTTTTAGTTGTTTCACAGAGCGCACGGAGCAGGAAGTGACACAGGAAGTGATCAGCTGATTTCTCACTAACACTCCTCCTGACTCTGTTTGCACGTGCTCCAAATTTTAGAAACAGCTGACTGAGAACAACCGTTTATTCTGCCACGCGTTGGATGTCTTGTTTAAACTTGCTAACACTTTATAACACGACTGAGAGCTGTAATTACGTTCAGTTTCATCTACATACAGGAAAAAACAATAATGTGAGGAGAGCTGGAGAAGGTTCGTGTCCTGCAGGGTTAAATAAGACACGCCGTCTTATTTAACCCTGCAGGCGGAGGACACCGGAAACAGGACAAGGGGAAGCTTCACCTCCAATACTGAGCAGGAAGCAGCAACTGATCGTTCCTGCACGACCGAGCCTGAGTCTTTATGCTTCCATTACTATGTGAAAATGGACCAAACCAGCTGTTATCCACAGACACTCCACTTTCATCTTTAGACTGAAAAAAGACACCTGAACCGTTCCTTTGGATGGATTTAAGCGCCGTCCGCTTCCAGAGAACGGAGACAGAGTACGTAATATTCAGACAAAAATACAACAAGAAGGAAGAACAAGCTGCAGCCTGGGCTCAGACACAGGTGAACCTGACGAGGACATCCACAGAAAAGGAGACGCTCAGAAGCAGGAAGTAAAACCATGACCAGACAAATGGAAAAGGAAGTTTGACAGGAAGTGGATAAAAGACAAATGAGTAAACAGAAAGACAGAAGAAAATAAGAGTAAAATCTGACGGTGACAGGAAATCTCTCCACTCTGATGAAACCAGCCTGACCTCTGCTGTCCTCTCATTGTGTCTCCAGTCCTCGCTAAGCTGCAGCAGGCCAGCAGATAATCAGCGTAATGACTTTTCATCAGAGCGCTGACCTGAAGACCCACATTTCCCCCCGCGGGGGAGGCACTCCTCCCTCGTTATAAGTACGAGTACCTGCAATCAGCCTCGTCTGCAGATCGTCAGCTGGTTCTGAGCGTCTCCCTGACACGATGTGAACGTCTGTGGAGCTTTCTGTGTTGGCAGCTGCCTGGAGAAACGTGGAAGTGCGTGGACGCTGAAGCAGAAGATC